AGAGAGAAGAGATGGCTTCATAGATGTCTCTTTAGAAGAGAGAAGAGATGAAGATGATAGAGAGAAGAGATGTTTAGATGTCTTTAGAGAGAAGAGATGGCTTCATAGATGTCTTTATAGAGAGAAGAGATGGTTTCATAGATGTCTTTATGAGAGAAGATGGTTTCATAGATGTCTTTAGAAAGAGATGATAGTTGTCTTTATAGAGAGAAGAGATGGCTTTTTATAGAGAGAAGAGATGGCTTTATAGATGTCTTTATAGAGAGAAGAGATGGCTTGTATAGTTGTCTTTATAGAGAAGAGATGGCTTCAGATGCCTCTTTATAGAGAGAAGAGATGGCTTCAGATGTCTTTATAGAGAAGAGATGGCTTCATAGTTGTCCTTTATAGAGAGAAGAGATGGCTTCATAGATGTCTTTAGAGAGAAGAGATGGCTTCATGGATGTCTTTATAGAGAGAAGAGATGGCTTCATAGAAGAGATGTTCTTTTATAGAGAAGAGAAGAGATAGTTTTAGATGTCTTTTATAGAGAGAAGGAGGATGTCTTTATTGTCTTTATAGAGAGAAGAGATGGCTCATAGATGTCTCCTTAGAGAGAAGAGATGGCTTCATAGATGTCTTTATAGAGAGAAGAGATGGTTTTCATAGTTGTCTTTATAGAGAGAAGAGATGGCTTCAGATGTTCCTATAGAGAAGAGATGGCTTTATAGATGTCCTTTATAGAGAGAGAGATGGCCTATAGATGTCTTTTATAGAGAGAAGAGATGGCTCATAGATTGTCTTTATAGAGAGAAGAGACATTCATGGTTGTCTTTATAGAGAGAAGAGATGGCTTCACAGTTGCCTTCATAGAGAAGAGATGGCTTCATAGATGTCCTTACAGAGAAGAGATGGCTTCATAGTTGACTCTTATAGAGAAGATGACAGGTTTCTTTATATATAAAGATGGCTCTTTACAGTTGTCTTTATAGAGAGAAGAGATGGCTCATGGATGTCTTTATAGAGTAGGAAGAGATGCCTTAGAGTTGTCTTTATAGAGAAGAAGAGATGTATTTATAGAGAGAAGAGATGCTTTATGATTGTCTTTATAGAGAGAAGAGATGGCCTAGATGCATATACAGGATGCTGTCTTTATAGAGAGAAGGGATGGTTTCATAGATGTTTATATAGAGAGAAGAGATGGTTTGTCTTTATAGAGAGAAGAGATGGCTTCATAGATGTCTATAGAGAGAAGAGATGGCTTCATAGATGTCTTTATAGAGAAGAGATGGCTTTACAGATGTCTTTTAGAGAAGAGAGAGATGTCTTCATAGAGAAGAGATGGCTTCATAGATGTCTTTATAAAAGAAGATGGCTTCATAGATGTTCTTTATAGAGAGAAGAGATGGCTTTATCATAGATGTCTTTATGGAGAGAAGAGATGGTTTCATAGTTGTCTTTATGGAGAGAAGAGAGATGGCTTCCATAGTTGTCTTTATAGAGAGAAGAGATGGCTTTATAGATGTCTTTATAGAGAGAAGAGATGGCTTCATGAAGTTGTCTTTATAGAGAGAAGAGATGGCTTCATAGATGTCTTTATACAGAGAAGAGATGGCTTCATAGATGATGGCTTTGACTAGAGAGAGAAGAGATGGCTTAGTTGTTGTCTTTATAGAGAGTAGAGATGGCTTTTAGATGTCTTTTATAGAGAGAAGAGATGGCTTGCATGGGGAGAATGTTAGATGCTTTATAGAGAGAAGAGATGGTTTGCTAGTTGTCTTTATAGAGAGAAGAGATAGCTTCATAGATGTCATTATAGAGGAAGAGATGCCTTCTGCAGGGCAGCAGATAGCCTTAAGTTTTATAGAGAGAAGAGATGGTCTTCCTAGATGTCTTTATAGAGAGAAGAGATGACTTTATAGTTGTCTTTTATAGAGAGAAGAGATGGTTTATAGATGTCTTATAGAGAGAAGGGATGGTTTCATAGTTGTCTCCTTTATAGAGAGAAGAGGATGGTTTAGATGTCTTTATAGAGAGAAGAGATGGCTTCATAGATGTCTTTATAGAGAGAAGAGAGATGTCTTTATAGAGAAGATTATCATAGATGTCTTTATAGAGAGAAGAGATGGCTTCATAGATGTCTTTATAGAGAGAAGAGATGGATCATAGTTGTATTTATAGATGGCTCAGAAGAGATGGCTTCATAGATGTCTTTATAGAGAGAAGAGATGGCTTTATAGTTGTATTTATAGAGAGAAGAGATGGCTTCATAGATGTCTTTATAGAGAGAAGAGATGGGTTTACATATGTCTTTATAGAGAGAAGAGATGGCTTCATAGATGTCTTATAGAGGGAAGAGATGGCTTCATAGATGCTCCTTTAGAGAGAGAAGAGATGGCTTCATAGATGTCTTTTATGGAGAGAAGAGATAGCTACATAGATGTCTTTATAGAGAGAAGAGATGGCTTCATAGATGTCTTATAGAGAAGAGATGGCTTCCAAGATGTCTTTTATAGAGAGAAGAGATGGCTTCCATGGTTGTCTTTATGGAGAGAGAAGAGATGGCTTCATAGAGAGAAGAGATGGCTTTATAGAGAGAAGAGATGGCTTCATTTAGATGTCTTTATAGAGAGAAGAGATGGCTTCTTATAGAGAGAAGAGATATTTCATAGATGTCTTATAGGAGAGAAGAGATGGCTTCATGAGAAGAGATGGCTTCATAGATTATAGAGAGAAGAGATGGCTTCATAGGATGTCTTTATAGAGAGAAGAGATGGCTTCATAGATGTCTTATATAGAGAGAAGAGATGGCTTCATAGATGTCTTTATAGAGAGAAGAGATGGCTTTGCTAGATGTCTTTTTATAGAGAGAAGAGATGGCTTCATAGTTGTCTTTATGGAGAGAAGAGATGGCTTCATAGTTGTCTTTATAGGAGTGAAGAGATGAGTCTTTATAGAGAAGAGGTGAGAGAGAAGAGATGGCTTCATAGTTGTCTTTATAGAGAGATGGCTCATAGAGATGGCTTTCATAGATGTCTCTTTATAGAGAGAAGAGATGGCTTTAGATGTCTTTATAGAGAGAAGAGATGTCTTCATAGATGTTTATAGAAAGAAGAGATGGCTTCATAGATTTCTTTATAGAGAGAAGAGATGGTTTTGATGTTATAGAGAGAAGAGATGGTTTCAGTTGTCTTTTATAGAGTGAAGAGATGGCTTCATAGATGTCTTCAGAGAAAAGAGATGGCTTTATAGATGTCTTTATAGAGAGAAGAGATGCTCTATAGTTTGTTCTTTATAGAGGAAGAGATGGCTTCATAGATGGTCTTGTTATAGAGAGAAGAGATGGCTTCATAGATTCTTTTATAGAGAGAAGAGATGGCTTCATAGATGTCTTTATAGAGAGAAGAGATGGCTTCATAGATGTCTTATAGAGAGAAGAGATGGCTTCATAGATGTCTTTATAGAGAGAGAAAGGATATGTATTTATAGAGTAAGAGATGGCTTCTTTATAGAGAGAAGAGAGATGATGCTCATAGGAGAAGAGATGGCTTCTTTATAGAGAGAAGAGATGGCTTCATAGTTGTCTTTATAGAGAGAAGAGATGGCTTCATGGTTGTCTTTTATAGAGAAAGAGATGGCTTCATAGTTGTCTTTATTATAGAGAGAAGAGATGGCTTCATAGATGTTCTTTATAGAAGAGAAGAGATGGTTGTCTTTATAGTGGTGTGTCTTTATAGAGAGAAGATGATGGCTTCATTTTATAGAGAGAAGAGATGGCTCTGTTTTATAGAGAGAAGAGATGATGTCTTTTATAGAGAGAAGAGATGTTCATAGATATAGAGAGAAGAGATGGCTTCAGTTGTCTTTTATAGATGATGTCTTATAGAGAGAAGAGATGGCTTCAGAGTTGTCTTTATAGAGAGAAGAGATGGTTTTATAGATGTGTCTTTATAGAGAGAAGAGATGGTTTCCATAGATGTCTTTATAGAGAGAAGAGATGGCTTGCATAGATGTCTTTATAGGAGAAGAGATGGCTTCATGGTTGTCTTTATAGAGATGGCTTCTTTTATAGAGAGAAGAGATGGCTTCATAGTTGTCTTTATAGAGAGAAGAGATGGCTTCATAGTTGTCTTTATAGAGAGAAGAGATGGCTTCATAGATGTCTTTTAGAGAGAAGAGATGGCTTAGTTGTCCTTATAGAGAGAAGAGATGGCTTCATAGATGTCTTTATAGAGAGAAGAGATGGCTTCATAGTTGTCTTTATAGAGAGAAGAGATGGTTTTTATGATGGAGACAGTCTTTATAGAGAGAAGAGATGGCTTCATAGATGTCTTTATAGAGAAAGAGATGGCTTCAAGAGATGGCTGATGCAGATCATAGATGTCTTTTATAGAGAGAAGAGATGGCTTCATAGATGTCTTATAGAGAGAAGAGATGGCTTCATGATGTCTTTATAGAGAGAAGAGATGGCTTCATAGTTGTCTTTTATAGAGAGAAGAGATGGCTTCATAGATGTCTTATAGAGAGAAGAGATGGTTTACATATGTCTTTATAGGAGAAGAGATGGCTTCATAGATGTCTTTATGAGAGAAGAGATGGCTTCATAGATGTCTTTATAGAGAGAAGAGATGGCTTCATAGTTGTTCTTTATAGAGAGAAGAGATGGCTTATAGATGTCTTTATAGAGAGAAGAGATGGCTTCATAGATGTCTTTATAGAGAGAAGAGATGGCTTTGCTGGATGTCTTTTATAGAGAGAAGAGATGGCTTTTTATAGTTGTATTTATAGAGAGAAGAGATGGCTTCATGGTTGTCTTTATAGAGAGAAGAGATTGCTTCATGGATGTCTTTATAGAGAGAAGAGATGGCTTCATAGATGTCTTTATAGAGAGAAGAGATGGTCTTTCATAGATGTTTATAGATGTCTAGAGAAGAGATGGCTGGAGAAGAAGATATGGCTTGATGTCTTTTATAGAGAAGAGATGGCTTCATAGATGTCTTTTATGGAGAGAAGAGATGTCTTCAGTTTGTCTTTATAGAGAGAAGAGATGGCTTCATGGTTGTCTTTATAGAGTGAAGAGAGAAGAGAAGAGATGGCTTCATAGATGTCTTTATAGAGAGAAGAGATGGCTTCATAGTTGTTTCTTTATAGAGAGAGAGAAGAGATGGCTTCATAGTTGTCTTTATAGAGAGAAGAGATGGCTTCATAGTTGTCTTTATAGAGAGAAGAGATGGCTTCATAGATGTCTTTAGAGAGAGAAGAGATGGCTTCATAGATGTCTTTATAGAGAGAAGAGATGGCTTCATAGATGTCTTTATAGAGAGAAGATGAAAAGCTCCTTTATAGAGAGAAGAGATGGTTGTCTTTATAGAGAGAAGATGGCTTATAGTCTTTATAGAGAAGAGATGGCTTCATAGATGTCTTTATAGAGAGAAGAGATGGTTTCATAGTTGTCTTTATAGAGAGAAGAGATACTATAGATGTCTTTATAGAGAGAAGAGATGGCTTCATAGATGTCCTTATAGAGAGAAGAGATGGCTTCATAGTTGTCTTTATAGAGAGAAGAGATGGCTTCATAGATGTCTTTATAGAGAGAAGAGATGATCTTATAGATGTCTTTATAGAGAGAAGATGGCTTCATAGATGTCTTTTATAGAGAAGAGATGGCTTCAGATGTCTTTATAGAGAAGAGATGTATTTCATAGTTGTCTTTATAGAGTGAAGAGATGGTTTCATAGATGTCTTTATAGAGAGAAGAGATGGCTTCATTTGTCTTTATATAGAGAGAAGAGAGATGTCTTTCATAGATGTCTTTATAGATGATGGAAGAGATGGCTTCATAGATGTTCTTTATAGAGAGAAGAGATGGCTTCATAGATGTCTTTATAGAGAGAAGAGATGGCTTCATAGATGTCTTTTTATAGAGAGAAGAGATGGCTTCATAGATTGTCTTTAGAGAGTGGCTTCATAGATGTCTATATAGAGAGAAGAGATGGCTTCATAGATGTCTTTATAGAGAGAAGAGATGGCTTCAGATGTCTTTATAGAGTTGGCTTCATTATATGAGAGAAGAGATGGCTTAGAGATGGCATAGATGTCTTTATAGAGAGAGATGGCTTCATAGATATATAGAGAAGAGATGGCTTATAGATGTCTTTATAGAGGAAGAGATGGCTTCATAGATGTCCTTTATAGAGAAGAGAAGAGATGGCTTGCTAGAGAAGAGATTGTGGATGTCTTTATAGAGAGAAGAGATGGCTTCATAGATGTCTTTATAGAGAGAAGAGATGGCTTCATAGATGTGTCTTTATAGAGAGAAGAGATGGCTTCATAGATTCACTTTAGAGAAGAGATGACTTCATTTCTTATAGAGAGAAGAGATGGCTTCATTCTTCTTTATAGAAGGTCTTTATAAGAGAAGAGATGGCTTCATAGATGTCTTTATAGAGAGAAGATGGCTTCATAGATGTCTTTTTATAGAGAAGAGATGGCTTCATAGAGTCTTTATAGGTGAAGAGATGGCTTCATAGATGTCTTTATAGAGAGAAAGAGATGGCTTTATAGATGTCTTTATAGAGAGAAGAGATGGCTTCATAGATGTCTTTAGAGAGAAGAGATGGCTTCATAGTTGTCTTTATAGAGAGAAGAGATGGCTTCATAGATGTCTTATAGAGAAAGATGAAACTATGGTTGTCTTTATAGAGAGAAGAGATGGCTTCATAGATGTCTTTATAGAGAGAAGAGATGGCTATAGGGTTCTTTATAGAGAGAAGAGATGGCTTCATAGTTGTCTTTATAGAGAGAAGAGATGGTCTTATAGTTGTCTTTGTATAGAGAGAAGAGATGGCTTCATAGATGTCTTTTATAGAGAGAAGAGATGGCTTCATAGATGTCTTTATAGAGAGAAGAGATGGCTTCATAGTTGTCTTTATAGAGAGAAGAGAGATGGCTTCATAGATGTCTTTTATAGAGAGAAGAGATGGCTTCATAGATGTCTTTATGGAGAGAAGAGATGGCTATAGATGTCTTTATAGAGAGAAGAGATGGCTTCATAGATGTTTTTATAGAGAGAAGAGATGGCTTCATAGATGTCTTTATAGAGTAGAGATGGCTTCATAGATGTCTTTAGAGATGGCTTCATAGATGTCTTTATAGAGAAGAGAGGCTTCATGATGTCTTTATGGAGAGAAGAGATGGCTCTTGTCTTTATAGAGAGAAGAGATGGCTTCATAGTTGTCTTTATAGAGAGAAGATGGATGTTCTTTATAGATGTCTTTTATAGAGAGAGAAGAGATGGCTTCATGGATGTCTTTAGAGAAGAGAAGATGGTCTTTATAGAGAAGAGATGGTAAGCCAGTTGTCTTTATAGAGAGAAGAGATGAGCTTCATGGATGTCTTTATAGAGAGAAGAGATTTCTATAGTTGTCTTTATAGAGAGAAGAGATTATGGATTGTATAGATAAGAGATGGCTTGTCTTTATAGAGAGAAGAGATGGCTTCATAGATGTCTTTATAGAGAGAAGAGATGGCTTCATAGATGTTCTATATAGAGAGAAGAGATGGCTTCACAGATGTTCTTATAGAGAGAAGAGATGGTTTTTAGATGTCTTTTATAGAGAGAAGAGATAGATGTTTTTATAGAGAGAAGAGATGGCTTCATAGATATAGAGAGAAGAGATGGCTTCATAGATGTCTTTTATAGAGAGAAGAGATGGCTTCAGATGTCTTTATAGAGAGAGAGATAGGTTCATGGTTGTCTTTTATAGAGAGAGAGAGATGGCTTTATAGATGTCTTTATAGAGAGAAGAGATGGCTTTATAGATGCCCTTTATAGAGAGAAGAGATGGCTTCATAGATGTCTTTTTATAGAGAGAAGAGATGGCTTTATAGATGTCTTTATAGATGAAGAGATGGCTTCATAGATGTCTTTATAGGAGAGAAGAGATGGCTTCATAGATGTCTTTATAGAGAGAAGAGATGGATGTATAGAGAGAAGAGATGGTTTATAGAGTCTCTATAGAGAGAAGAGATGTTCATAGATGTCTTTATAGAGAGAAGAGATGGCTTCATAGATGTCTTTATAGAGAGAAGAGATGGCTTCATAGATGTTCTCCTTTATAGAGAGAAGAGATGGCTTCAGATGTTCCTTATGGAGAAGAGATGGCTTCATAGATGTCTTTATAGAGAGAAGAGATGGCTTCATAGATGTCTTTATAGAGAGAAGAGATGGCAGATGTCTTTTATGGAGAGAAGAGATGGCTTCATAGATGAGAGAAAGAGATGTTCTACAGATGTCTTTATAGAGAGAAGAGATGGTTTCATAGATGTCTTTATAGAGAGAAGAGATGGCTTCAGAGATGTCTTTATAGAGAGAAGATGGCTTCATAGATGTCTTTATAGGAGAGAAGAGATGGTTTGCATAGTTGTCTTTATAGAGAGAAGAGATGGCTTTGCTATAGAGAGAAGAGATGGGCTTCTTTATAGAGAGAGAAGAGATGGTTTCCATAGATGTCTTTATAGAGAGAAGAGATGGCTTCATAGATGCTTATAGAGAGAAGAGATTATAGAGAGAAGAGATGGTCATAGATGTCTTATATAGAGAGAAGAGATGGCTTTAGATGTCTTTATAGAGAGAAGAGATGGCTTCATAGATGTCTTTTATGGAGAGAAGAGATGGCTTCATAGATGTCTTTATAGAGAGAAGAGATGGCTTCATAGATGTCTTTATAGAGAGAAGAGATGGCTTCAGATGCCTTTTATAGAGAGAAGAGATGGCTTCATAGATGTCTTATAGAGAGAAGAGATGAGAAGAGAGATGGCTTCATAGATGTCTTTATAGAGAGAAGAGATGGCTTCATAGATGTCTTTATATAGAGAAGAGATGGCTTTATAGTTGTCTTTTATAGAGAAGAGATGGCTTTTATAGATGTCTTTATAGAGAGAAGAGATGGCTTCATAGATGTCTTTTAAGAGAGAAGAGATGGAGAAGAGATTCATAGATGTCCTTTTATAGAGAGAAGAGATGGCTTCTAGTTGTCTAGATGTGTCTTTATAGAGAAGAGATGGCTTCATAGATGTCTTTATAGAGAGAAGAGATGGCTTTGTCATAGATGTCTTTATAGAGAGAAGAGATGGCTTCATAGATGTCTTTATAGAGAGAGAGATGGCTTTATAGTTGTCTTGTCTTTATAGAGAGAAGAGATGGCTTCATGGTTGTCTTTATAGAGAAAGGATATGGCTTCATAGTTGTCTTTATAGAGAGAAGAGATGGCTTCATAGATGTCTTTATAGAGAGAAGAGATGGCTTCATAGTTGTCTTTATAGAGAGAAGAGATGGCTTCATGGTTGTCTTTATAGAGAGAAGAGATGGCTTCATAGATGTCTTTATAGAGAGAAGAGATGGCTTCATAGATGTCTTTATAGAGAGAAGAGATGGCTTCATAGATGTCTTTATAGAGAGAAGAGATGGCTTCATAGTTGTCTTTATAGAGAGAAGAGATGGCTTCATAGATGTCTTTATAGAGAGAAGAGATGGCTTCATAGATGTCTTTATAGAGAGAAGAGATGGCTTCATAGATGTCTTTATAGAGAGAAGAGATGGCTTCATAGATGTCTTTATAGAGAGAAGAGATGGCTTCATAGTTGTCTTTATAGAGAGAAGAGATGGCTTCATAGATGTCTTTATAGAGAGAAGAGATGGCTTCATAGTTGTCTTTAGAGAGAGAAGAGATGGCTTCATAGTTGTCTTTATAGAGAGAAGAGATGGCTTCATGGTTGTCTTTATAGAGAGAAGAGATGGCTTCATAGATGTCTTTATAGAGAGAAGAGATGGCTTCATAGTTGTCTTTATAGAGAGAAGAGATGGCTTCATAGTTGTCTTTATAGAGAGAAGAGGCTTCATGTCTTTATAGAGAGAAGAGATGTCTTTATAGAGAGAAGAGATGGCTTCATAGATGTCTTTATAGAGAGAAGAGATGGCTTCATAGATGTCTATATAGAGAGAAGTGATGGCTTCATAGATGTCTTTATAGAGAGAAGAGATGGCTTCATAGATGTCTTTATGGAGAGAAGAGATGGCTTCATAGATGTCTTTATGGAGAGAAGAGATGGCTTCATAGTTGTCTTTATAGAGAGAAGAGATGGCTTCATAGATGTCTTTATAGAGAGAAGAGATGGCTTCATAGATGTCTTTATAGAGAGAAGAGATGGCTTCATAGTTGTCTTTATAGAGAGAAGAGATGGCTTCATGGTTGTCTTTATAGAGAGAAGAGATGGCTTCATAGTTGTCTTTATAGAGAGAAGAGATGGCTTCATAGATGTCTTTATAGAGAGAAGAGATGGCTTCATAGTTGTCTTTATAGAGAGAAGAGATGGCTTCATGGTTGTCTTTATAGAGAGAAGAGATGGCTTCATAGATGTCCTTATAGAGAGAAGAGATGGCTTCATAGTTGTCTTTATAGAGAGAAGAGAGATGGCTTCCTATAGTTGTCTTTATAGGAGAAGAGATGGCTTCATAGATGTCTTATAGAGAGAAGAGATGGCTTCATAGTTGTCTTTATAGGAGAGAGAAGAGATGGCTTCATAGATGTCTTTATAGAGAGAAGAGATGGTTGTCTTGGGGATAGTGGCTTCATCTTTATAGAGAGAAAGAGATGGTCTTTATAGGATAGATGTCTTTATATAGAGAAGAGATGGCTTCATAGATGTCTTTATAGAGAGAAGAGATGGCTTACAGATGTCATAGTTGTGTCTTTATAGAGAGAAGAGATGGCTTATAGATGTCTTTATAGAGAGAAGAGATGGCTTCATAGATGTCTTTATAGAGAGAAGAGATGGCTTCATAGTTGTCTTATAGAGAGAAGAGATGGCTTCATAGATGTCTTTATAGAGAGAAGAGATGGCTTCATAGATGTCTTTATAGGAGAGAAGAGATGGCTTCATAGATGTCCTTTATAGAGTGAAGAGAAGAGATAGAGAGAAGAGATGGCTTCATATTGTCTTTATAGAGAGAAGAGATGGCTTCAGAGTTGTCTTTATAGAGAGAAGAGATGGCTTCATAGATGTCTTTATAGAGAGAAGAGATGACTTCATAGATGTCTTTATAGAGAGAAGAGATGGCTTCATAGATGTCTTTATAGAGAGAAGAGATGGCTTCATAGTTGTCTTATAGAGAGAAGAGATGGCTTCATAGATGTCTTTTATAGAGAGAAGAGATGGCTTCATAGATGTCTTTATAGAGAGAAGAAGAGATGTCTTTATAGAGAAGAGATGGCTAGTTGTCTTTATAGAGAGAAGAGATGGCTTCATAGATGTCCTTTATAGAGAGAAGAGATGGCTTCTAGATGTCTTTATAGAGAGAAGAGATGGCTTCATATTGTCTTTTATAGAGAGAAGAGATGGCTTCAGATGGTTTATAGAGAGAAGAGATGGCTTCATGATGTCTTTATAGAGAGAAGAGATGGCTTCTTAGATGTTCTTTTATAGAGAGAAGAGATGGCTTCATAGATGTCTTTATAGAGAGAAGAGATGGCTTCATAGATGTCTTTTATAGAGAGAAGAGATGGCTTTATAGTTGTCTTTATAGAGAGAGAAGAGATGGCTTCAGATGTCTTTATAGAGAGAAGAGATGGCTTCATAGATGTCTTTATAGGAGAGAGAAGAGATGGCTTTATAGTTGTTTTATGGAGAGAAGATGGCTTCATAGATGTCTTTATAGAGAGAGAGAGAGATGGCTTCATAGATGTCTTTATAGTTGAGAGAAGAGATGGCTTCATAGATGTCTTTATAGAGAGAAGAGATGGCTTTATAGATGTCTTTATAGAGAGAAGAGATGGCTTCATAGATGTCTATATAGAGAGAAGAGATGGCTTCATAGATGTTCTTTATAGAGAGAAGAGATGGCTTCTAGATGTCTTTATGGAGAGAAGAGATGGTCCATAGTTGTCTTCATAGAGAGAAGTCTTTATAGAGAGAAGAGATGGCTTCATAGATGTCTTTATAGAGAGAAGAGATGGCTTCATAGATGTCTTTTATAGAGAGAAGAGATGGCTTCATAGATGTCTTTTATAGAGAAGAGATGGCTTCATAGATGTCTTTATAGAGAGAAGAGAGATGGCTTATAGTTGTCTTTATAGAGAGAAGATGGTTTCATAGATGTCTTTTATAGAGAGAAGAGATGGCTTCATAGTTGTCTTTTAGAGAGAGAAGAGATGGCTTCATAGATGTCTTTATAGAGAGAAGAGATGGCTTCATAGATGTCTTTATAGAGAGAAGAGATGGCTTCATAGATGTCTTTATAGAGAGAAGAGATGGCTTCATAGATGTCTTTATGGAGAGAAGAGATGGCTTCATAGATGACTTTATAGAGAGAAGAGATGGCTTCATAGTTGTCTTTATAGAGAGTAGAGATGGCTTCTTAGATGTCTTTATAGAGAGAAGAGATGGCTTCATAGATGTCTTTATAGAGAGAAGAGATGGCTTCATAGATGTCTTTATAGAGAGAAGAGATGGCTTCATAGTTGTCTTTATAGAGAGAAGAGATGGCTTCATAGATGTCTTTATAGAGAGAAGAGATGGCTTCATGGTTGTCTTTATAGAGAGAAGAGATGGCTTCATAGTTGTCTTTATAGAGAGAATGAGATGGCTGTATGTCTTTATAGAGAGAAGGGAAGAGATGGCTTGCTAGATGTCTTTATGGAGAGAAGAGATGGCTTCATAGATGTCTTTATAGAGAGAAGAGATGGCTTCATAGTTGTCTTTATAGAGAAGAGATGGCTTCATAGATGTCTTTATAGAGAGAAGAGATGGCTTCATAGTTGTCTTTATAGAGAGAAGAGATGGCTTCATAGATGTCTTTATAGAGAGAAGAGATGGTTTTCCATAGATGTCTTTTATAGAGAGAAGAGATGGCTTTCATAGATGACTTTATAGAGAGAAGAGATGGCTTCATAGTTGTCTTTATAGAGAGAAGAGATGGCTTTTCATAGATGTCTTTATAGAGAGAAAGAGATGGCTTCATAGATGTCTTTATAGAGAGAAGAGATGGCTTTAGATGTCTTTTATAGAGAGAAGAGATGGCTTCATAGATGTCTTTATAGAGAGAAGAGATGGCTTCATAGATGTCTTTTATAGAGAGAAGAGATGGCTTCATAGATGTCTTTATAGAGAGAAGAGATGGCTTTATGGAGAGGTTCACAGATGTCTTTATAGAGAGAAGAGATGGCTTCATAGTTGTCTTTATAGAGAGAAGAGATGGCTTCATAGATGTCTTTTATAGAGAGAAGAGATGGCTTCATAGATGTCTTTATAGAGAAGATGGTTTAGTTGTCTTTTATAGAGAGAAGAGATGGCTTCATAGATGTCTTTATAGAGAGAAGAGATGGCTTCATAGATGTCTTTATAGGAGAAGAGAAGAGATGGCTTGGCATAGATGTCTTTATAGAGAGAAGAGATGGCTTTATGTTGTGTCTTTATAGAGAGAAGAGAGATGGCTTCATAGTTGTCTTTATAGAGAGAAGAGATGGCTTCATAGATGTCTTTATAGAGAGAAGAGATGGCTTCATAGATTGTCTTTATAGAGAGAAGAGATGGTCTTTTATAGAGAGAAGAGATGGCATAGATGTCTTTATAGAGAGAAGAGATGGCTTCATAGATGTCTTTATAGAGAGAAGAGATGGCCATGGATGTCTTTATAGAGAGAAGAGATGGCTTCATAGTTGTCTTTATTATAGAGAAGAGATGGCTTCATAGTTGTCTTATAGAGAGAAGAGATGGCTTCTTTATATAGAGAAGAGATGGCTTATAGAGAGAAGAAGATGGCTTCATAGATGTCTTTATAGAGAGAAGAGATGGCTTCATAGATGTCTTTATAGAGAGAAGAGATGGCTTTGGGCGGATGTCTTTATGGAGAGAAGATATGGCTTCATAGTTGTCTTTAGAGGGAGAGATGATGTCTTTATATAGATGTCTTTATAGAAGAAGAGATGGCTTCATAGATGTCTTTATAGAGAGAAGAGATGGCTTTACAGATGTCTTTTATAGAGAGAAGAGATAGCTTCATAGATGTCTTTATAGAGAGAAGAGATGATGGATGTCTTTGAAGAGATTTTATAGAGAGAGAAGAGATGTCTTTAGATGTCTTTTATAGAGAGAAGAGATGGCTTCATAGTTGTCTTTATAGAGAGAAGAGATGGCTTCATGGATGTCTTTATAGAGAGAAGAGATGGCTTCATAGATGTCTTTATAGAGAGAAGAGATGGCTTCATAGTTGTCTTTATAGAGAGAAGAGATGGCCATAGTTGTCTTTATAGAGAGAAGAGATGGCTTCATAGTTGATGTCTATTATAGAGAGAAGAGATGGCTTCCATGGTTGTCTTTATAGAGAGAAGAGATGGCTTCATAGTTGTCTTTATAGAGAGAAGAGATATGGCTTCATAGATGTCTTTATAGAGAGAAGAGATGGCTTCATAGTTGTCTTCTTTAGGAGAGAAGAGATGGTTTCTACAGATGCCCTTTATAGAGAGAAGAGATGGCTTCATGGTTGTCTCCTTATGGAGAGGAAGAGATGGGTCTTTATAGAGAGAAGAGATGGCTTCATAGATGTCTTTATAGAGAGAAGAGATGGCTTCATAGATGTCTTTATAGAGAGAAGAGATGGCTTCATAGATGTCTTTATAGAGAGAAGAGATGGTTCATAGATGTCTTTATGGGAGAGAAGAGATGGATGTTCATAGGATGTCTTTTATAGAGAGAAGAGATGGCTTTATAGTTGTCTTTTATAGAGAAGAGATGGCTTCATAGATGTCTTTTATAGAGAGAAGAGATGGCTTCATAGATGTCTTTATAGAGAGAAGAGATGGCTTCATAGATGCTTTTTATAGTTGTGACTTTGTATTTAGAGAAGAGATGGCTTCATGGTTGTCTTTATAGAGAGAAGAGATGGCTTCATAGATGTCTTTATAGAGAGAAGGGATGGCTTCATAGTTGTCTTTATAGAGTGAAGAGATGGCTTCATAGATGTCTTTATAGAGAGAAGAGATGGCTTCATAGATGTCTATATAGAGAGAAGATATGGCTTCATAGATGTCTTTATAGAGAGAAGAGATGGCTTCATAGATGTCTTTATGGAGAGAAGAGATGGCTTCATAGATGTCTTTATGGAGAGAAGAGATGGCTTCATAGATGTCTTTATAGAGAGAAGAGATGGCTTCATAGATGTCTTTATAGAGAGAAGAGATGGCTTCATAGATGTCTTTATAGAGAGAAGAGATGGCTTCATAGATGTCTTTATAGAGAGAAGAGAGATGGCTTATAGATGTCTTTATAGAGAAGAGATGGCTTCATAGATGTCTTTATAGAGAGAAGAGATGGCTTCATAGATGTCTTTATAGAGAGAAGAGATGACTTTTATAGTTGATGTCTTTATAGAGAGAAGAGATGGCTGATGTCTTTTAAGAGAGAAGAGCTGGCATAGATGTCTTTATAGAGAGAAGAGATGGCTTCATAGATGTCTTTATAGAGAGAAGAGATGGCTTCATAGATGTCTTTATAGAGAGAAGAGATGGCTTCATAGATGTCTTTATAGAGAGATGAGATTCATAGATGTCTTTATGGAGAAGAGATGTTTCATAGATGTCTTATATAGAGAAGAGATGGCTTCATAGATGTCTTTATAGAGAGAAGAGATGGCTTTATAGATGTCTTTATAGAGAGAAGAGATGGCTTCATAGATGTCTTATAGGAGAGAAGAGATGGCTTCATAGATGTCTTTATAGAGAAAGAGATGGCTTCATAGATGTCTTTATAGAGAGAAGAGATGGCTTCATAGATGTCTTTATAGAGAGAAGAGATGGCTTCATAGATGTCTTTATAGAGAGAGAGATGGCTTCATAGATGTTCTTATAGAGAGAAGAGATGGCTTCATAGATGTCTTTATAGAGAGAAGAGATGGCTTCATAGATGTTCCTTTATAGAGAGAAGAGATGGCTTCATAGATGTCTTTATAGAGAGAAGAGATGGCTTCATAGATGTCTTTATAGAGAGAAGAGATGGCTTCATAGATGTCTTTATAGAGAGAAGAGATGGCTTCATAGATGTCTTTTATAGAGAGAAGAGATGGCTTCATAGTTGTCTTTATAGAGAAGAGAGAGATGAGAGAAGAGATGGTCATGGATGTCATAGAGAGAAGAGATGGTTGCTAGATGTCTTTATAGAGAGAAGAGATGGCTTCATAGATGTCTTTATAGAGAGAAGAGATGGCTTCATAGATGTCTTTTATAGAGAGAAAGAGATGGCTTCATAGATGTCTTTAGAGAGAAGAGATGGCTTCATGGATGTCTTTATGGAGAAGAGATGGCTCTATAGATGTCTTTATAGAGAGAAGAGATGGTTCTTAAGGTTGTCTTTAGAGAGAGAAGAGATGGCTTCATAGATGTCTTTATAGAGAAGAGATGGTTTCATAGATGTCTTTATAGAGAGAAGAGATGGCTTCATGGATGTCTTTATAAAGAGAAGAGATGGCTTCATAGATATCTTTATAGAGAAAGAGATAGCTTCATGGATTGTCTTTATAGAGAGAAGAGATGGCTTCATAGATGTCTTTATAGAGAGAAGAGATGGCTTTATAGATGTCTTTATAGAGAGAAGAGATGGCTTCATGGATGTCTTTATAGAAGAGAAGAGATGGCTTATAGATAGATGGCTTCATGATGTCTTTATAGAGAGAAGAGATGGCTTCATAGTTGTCTTTATAGAGAGAAGAGATGGGTTTCTATAGATGTCTTTATAGAGAGAAGAGATGGCTTCATAGATGTCTTTATAGAGAGAAGAGATGGCTTCATAGATGTCTTTATAGAGAGAAGAGATGGCTTCATAGATGTCTTTATAGAGAGAGAAGAGATGGCTTCATAGTTGTCTTATAGAGAGAAGAGATGGTTTCATAGTTGTCTTTATAGAGAGAAGATGGCTTCATGGTTGTCTTTATAGAAGAGATGGCTTCATAGATGTTTTATAGAGAGAAGAGATGGCTTCATAGTTGTCTTTATAGAGAGAAAGAGATGGGTTTGCTAGATGTCTTTTTTAGAGGAGAAGAGATGGCTTCATAGATGTCTTTATAGAGAGAAGAGATGGCTTCATAGATGTCTTTATAGAGAGAAGAGATGGCTTCATAGATGTCTTTATAGAGAGAAGAGATGGCTTCATAGATGTCTTTATAGAGAGAAGAGATAGCTTCATAGTTGTCTTTATAGAGAGAAGAGATGGCTTCATAGATGTCTTTATAGAGAGAAGAGATGACTTTATAGTTGTATTTATAGAGAGAAGAGATGGCTTCATGGTTGTCTTTATAGAGAGAAGAGATGGCTTCATAGATGTCTTTATAGAGAGAAAGAGATGGCTTAGCAGTTGTCTTTATAGAGAGAAGAGATGGTTTCAGATGTCTTTATAGAGAGAAGAGATGTCTTATAGATGTATTTATAGAGAGAAGATATGGCTTCATAGGATGTCTTTATAGAGAGAAGAGATGGCTTCATAGATGTCTTTATTTTAGAGAAGAGATGGGATTCATAGTTGTCTTTATAGAGAAGAGATGGCTTCATAGATGTCTTTATAGAGAGTGAAGAGATGTCTCATAGATGTCTTATAGAGAGAAGAGATGGCTTCCTAGATGTCTTTATAGAGAGAAGAGATGGCTTCATAGATGTCTTTATGGAGAGAAGAGATGGCTTCATAGATGTCTTTATAGAGAGAAGAGATGGCTTTATAGTTGTCTTTATAGAGAGAAGAGATGGATGTCTTTAGAGAGAAGGTAGATGTCCTTTATAGAGAGAAGAGATGGCTTCATGGTTGTCTTTATAGAGAGAAGAGATGGCTTCATAGATGTCTTTATAGAGAGAAGAGATGACTTCATAGATGTCTTTATAGAGAGAAGAGATGGCTTCATAGTATTCTTTTATAGAGAGAAGAGATGGCTTCATAGATGTCTTTATAGAGAGAAGAGATGGCTTCATAGATGTCTTTTATAGAGAGAAGAGATGGCTTTACAGACAAATTTTATAGAGAGAAGAGATGGCTTCATAGATGTCTTTATAGAGAGAAGAGATGGCTTTAGATGTCTTTATAGATGTTTCTTTATAGAGAGAAGAGATGGCTTCATAGATGTCTTTATAGAGAGAAGAGATGGCTTCATGGTTGTCTATATAGAGAGAGAAGAGATGGTTTCAGATGTCTTTATAGAGAGAAGAGATGGCTTCATAGATGTCTTTATAGAGAGAAGAGATGGCTTTATAGATGTCTTTATAGAGAGAAGAGATGGCTACATAGATGTCTTTATAGAGAGAAGAGATGGCTTCATAGATGTCTTTTATAGAGAGAAGAGATGGCTTCATAGATGTCTTTATAGAGAGAAGAGATGGTTTACAGTTGTTTTATAGAGAGAAGAGATGGCTTCATAGATGTCTTTATAGAGAGAAGAGATGGCTTTCATAGATGTCTTTATAGAGAGAAGATATGGCTTATAGATGTCTTTATAGAGAGAAGAGATGGCTTCATAGATGTTTATAGAGAGAAGAGATGGAGAAGAGATGGCTTTGTCTTTAGATGGCTTTATAGAGAGAGAAGAGATGGCTTCATAGTTGTCTTTATAGAGATATGGCTTGAGATGATGGCTTCATAGATGTCTTTATAGAGAGAAGAGATGGCTTATAGATGTTCTATATAGAGAGAAGAGATGGCTTTATAGTTGTCTTTAAGATAGAGTGAAGAGATGGCTTCATAGATGTCTTTATAGAGAGAAAAGATGGCTTCATAGATGTCTTTATAGAGAGAAGAGATGGCTTCATAGATGTCTTTATAGAGAGAAGAGATGGCTTCATAGATGTGTTTATAGAGAGAAGAGATGGCTTCATAGATGTCTTTATAGAGAGAAGAGATGCTTTCATAGATGTCTTTATGGAGAGAAGAGATGGCTTCATAGTTTTTCTTTATAGAGAGAAGAGATGGCTTCATAGATGTCTTTTAGAGAGAGAAGAGATGGCTTCATAGATGTCTTTATAGAGAGAGAAGAGATGGTTTCATAGATGTCTTTATAGAGAGAAGAGATGGCTTCATAGGACTTATAGAGAGAAGAGATGGCTTCATAGATGTCTTTATAGAGATAGAGAGAAGGATGCTTCATAGATGTCTTTTATAGAGAGAAGAGATGGCTTCATAGATGTCTTTATAGAGAGAAGAGATGGCTTCATAGATGTCTTTATAGAGAAGAGATGGCTTCATAGATGTCTTTATAGAGAGAAGAGATGGCTTCATAGATGTCTTTATAGAGAGAAGATATGGCTTCATAGATGTCTTTTATAGAGAAGAGATGGCTTCATAGATGTCTTTATAGAGAGAAGAGATGGCTTCATAGTTGTCTTTATAGAGAGAAGAGATGGCTTATAGTTGTCTTTATAGAGAGAAGAGATGGCTTCATGGTTGTCTTTATAGGAGATGGCTTCAAGAGATGGCTTCATAGATGTCTTTTTATAGAGAGAAGAGATGGCTTCATAGTTGTCTTTAGAGAGAGAGAAGAGATGGCTTCATGGTTGTCTTTATAGAGAGAAGAGATGGCTTCATAGTTGTCTTTATAGAGAGAAGAGATGGCTTCATAGATGTCTTTATAGAGAGAAGAGATGGCTTCCATAGTTGTCTTTATAGAGAGAAGATGGCTTCATAGTTGTTAGAGAGAAGAGATGGCTTCATAGATGTCTTTATAGAGAGAGAAGAGATGGTTTCATAGATGTCTTTTATAGAGAGAAGAGATGGCTTCATAGTTGTCTTTAGAGAGAGAAGAGATGGCTTCATAGATGTCTTTATAGAGAGAAGAGATGGCTTCATAGTTGTCTTTATATAGAGAGAAACAGAGATGTCTTTATAGTTGTCTTTATAGAGAGAAGAGATGGGCTTCATAGAGAAAAGAGATAGCTTTATTTGTCTTTATAGAGAGAAGAGATGGCTTCATAGATGTCTTTATAGAGAGAAGAGATAGCTTCATAGATGTCTTTATAGAGAGAAGAGATGGCTTCATAGATGTCTTTATAGAGAGAAGAGATGGCTTCATAGATGTCTTTATAGGAGTCTATAGAGAGAGATGGTCATAGATGTGCTTTATAGAGAGAAGAGATGGCTTCATAGATGTCTTCTTTTATAGAGAGAAGAGATGGTCTTTATAGATGAAGAGATAAACTTTAGATGTCTTTAGAGAGAAGAGATGGCTTCATAGATGTCTTTATAGAGAGAAGAGATGGTTTCATAGATGTCTTTAGAGAGAAGAGATAGCTTCATAGATGTCTTTAGGAGAGAAGAGATGGCTTCATAGATGTCTTTTATAGAGAGAAGAGATAGCTTCATATAGATGTCTTTATGGAGAGAAGAGATGGTTTATGATGTCTTTATAGAGAAGAGAAGATGTCTTTATACAGAGAAGAGATGGCTTCATAGATGTCTTTTATAGTCTTTATAGAGAGATGAGATGGCATAGATGTCTATATAGAGAGAAGAGATGGCTTCATAGATGTCTTTATAGAGAGAAGAGATGGCTTGGTCATAGAGATAGAGAGAAGAGATGGCTTTATAGATGTCTTTATGGAGAGAAGAGATGGCTTCATAGATGGCTTTATAGAGAGAAGAGATGGCTTATAGATGGCTTTATAGAGAGAAGAGATGGCTTCATAGGAGTGTCTTTATGGAGAGAAGAGATGGCTTCTTTATAGAGAGAAGAGATGGCTTCATAGATGTCTTTATAGAGAGAAGAGATATTTTACAGATGTCTTTACAGAGAAGAGATGGCTTCATAGATGTCTTTATGGAGAGAAGAGATGGCTTCATAGATGTGTTCTTTTATAGAGAGAAGAGAAGGCTTCATAGATGTCTTTATGGAGAGAAGAGATGGTCATAGAGAAAGAGATTGAAGATGTCTTTATGGAGAGAAGAGATGGCTCATAGATGTCTTTATGGAGAGAAGAGATGGCTTCATAGATGTCTTTAGAGAAGAGATGGCTTCATAGATGTCTTTATGGAGAGAAGAGATGGCTTCATAGATGTCTTTATAGAGAAGAGATATTTCAGATGTCTTTATAGAGAGAAGAGATGGCTTCATAGATGTCTTTATAGAGAGAAGAGATGGCTTCATAGATGTCTACAGAGAAGAGATATAGAGAGAAGAGATAGCAATGTTCTTTATACATAGAGAGAAGAGATCTTTATAGATGGGAAGAGATGGCTTCATGGTTGTCTTTAGGAAGTGTCTTTATAGATGAGAGAGAGATGGCTTCATAATTGTCTTTATAGAGAGAAGATATGGCTTCATAGATGTCTTTATAGAGAGAAGAGATGGCTTCATAGATGTCTATATAGAGAGAAAAGATGGCTTCATATATGTCTTTATACAGAGAAGAGATAACTTCATGGTTGTCTTTATGGAGAGAAGAGATGGCTTCATAAATGTCTTTATAGAGTGAAGAGATGGCTTCATAGTTGTCTTTATAGAGAGAAGAGATGCCTTCATAGTTGTCTTTATAGAGAGAAGAGATGGCTTCAGAGACGTCTTTATAAAGAGAAGAGATGGCTTCATAGTTGTCTTTATAGAGAGAAGTGATGGCTTCATAGATGTCTTTATATAGAGAAGAGATGGCTTCATAGTTGTCTTTATAGAGAGAAGAGATGGCTTCATAGTTGTCTTTATATAGAGAAGAGATGGCTTCAGAGATGTCTTTATAGAGAGAAGCGATGGCTTCATAGTTGTCTTTATAGAGAGAAAAGATGGCTTATAGATGTCTTTATAGAGAGAAGCCTTTATGCGAATGTTAACTCAACGAATTCCACACGCCAATTGGAACGTTCCATGTCGAAAACAGCACCGTTATGCCCACATCCAAATTCTGAACTGAGCTTTTTATAAATAAATAATTCCTGTACATATTCCTCAAGTTTTTAGGCACTGGCAATCAAATTTTGGTCTGGTATGTTTATTTAACTCGTTACTACGGAAGGTATGCACCTCTAGATGTTATCACATACAAAATGTTATGCAGATGTTAAATGTTGAAAACAAAAACATTCTTTGGTTTGTTTTGTTTGACAGTATATCAAACTTTTCAATGCTATTTAATGCCGAATTCTTGCGTTTTGATAAACAAAAGATGGGCATCTGAGCACCAGTCACTTTCTCTCCGTCGCTTCTCTGAGCCTTTTCTATAAATATTTAAATGGGGTGTGTTCTGGTGACCTTTCCGTTTTAGTTTGCGGGGCGTTTAAGGATTGTGTGTTTTTTTGTTATTACTAACATTATTTTGTTTAGTCACTTTGTGGATGAAGAAGATAATGAAGGAGATAATGAAGGAGATGGCTTCATAGATGAATGAGATAATGAAGGAGATGGCTTCATAGATGAACGATATAATGAAGGAGATAATGAAAGAGATGGCTTCATAGATGAAGGAGATTATGAAAGAGATGGCTTCATAGAGGAAGGATATAATGAAGGATATAATGAAGAACATAATGAAAGAGATGGCTTCATAGATGAAGGAGATTATGAAAGAGATGGCTTCATAGAGGAAGGATATAATGAAGGATATAATGAAGAACATAATGAAAGAGATGGCTTCATAGATGAAGGAGATTATGAAAGATGGCTTCATAGAGGAAGGATATAATGAAGGATATAATGAAGGACATAATGAAAGAGATGGCTTCATAGATGAAGGAGATTATGAAAGAGATGGCTTCATAGAGGAAGGATATAATGAAGGATATAATGAAGAACATAATGAAAGAGATGGCTTCATAGATGAAGGAGATTATGAAAGAGATGGCTTCATAGAGGAAGGATATAATGAAGGATATAATGAAGAACATAATGAAAGAGATGGCTTCATAGATGAAGGAGATTATGAAAGATGGCTTCATAGAGGAAGGATATAATGAAGGATATAATGAAGGACATAATGAAAGAGATGGCTTCATAGATGAAGGAGATTATGAAAGAGATGGCTTCATAGAGGAAGGATATAATGAAGGATATAATGAAGAACATAATGAAAGAGATGGCTTCATAGATGAACGATATAATGAAGGAGATAATGAAAGAGATGGCTTCATAGATGAAGGAGATTATGAAAGAGATGGCTTCATAGAGGAAGGATATAATGAAGGATATAATGAAGGACATAATGAAAGAGATGGCTTCATAGATGAAGCAGATAATGAAGGTGATAATGAAAGTAATGGCTTCATAGATGAAGGAGATAATAAAGGAAATAATGAAGGAGATAATGAAAGAGATGGCTTCATAGATGAAGGAGATAATGAAAGAGATGGCTTTATAGATGAAGTATATAATGAAGGAGATAATGTCAGAGATGGCTTCATAGATGACTTCATAGTGAGAAGCGATTCATTGTAATATTCATTTGGGTTCAGTTTTAAATATTGTCATTTTTATTACTCTCCTCCACAAGAAAATTGTAGACATGGGGACTAGTTTGGACTGCATAGAGCCTTTTAGCTATTATGGTGGCTGTAGTAATAATGGTAAGAATATGTTGTTTTGGTGCAAACAATTCTTTGGTACGTTTGAGTCAGTAATCATGGCTAGCTAAGTTTAAGTTAAAACAGAGTGAAGACCAAACTTCCCCTCCATCTTTTGGCCTTGTGTCACATTTTTGTATTACAACGAAATAAATATTGCTTTCCTATTTGGTAGCTCGATTTTACCAATTTAATCACAGTTCGAATTCCAGTCAAATCCATAACATTTACTTACGTACTAGTAACCTTGAGGAAGGTATGAATCCTCTTCTACACCCCCACACCAGCTTTGGGTAAATAGCAGGACAGACCGGGTTCTGTAACCTTGAGTGGTAACTCGTCAACTGCAGAAAGAAATGGCAACCTACCGCGGGAAAAAAATCTGCCTCGTCGATACATGATCGCCTAAGCATTCGAGATTGTAGGCGTCAACTTCCAATTTATTTTTCCGACAAATCGATGATAGCATCACCGTACAGAGGATTAAGCCCACACAAAAGTGACCATTTCTTTACTGCCCGCCTTTTTTTCTTGACTCACGTGAAAGCCAAGCCTATGTTTTTCTTTTTTTTAATCATTTCACCCCAAGTTTGTGGGGGGAGGGAGAAGAGGATTCATACCTTTCCCAATGGTATTGCCCCGTAAGTGAATGTAAAGGATTCGAGTGGAATTCGAACTCGGCTCTCCGATTTCGTAATCCAAGCCGCTATCCACCGTGCCTCCTGTTATATGCAGACAAAAAGAATAGTACTTGAATTGCACTGATAATGTGTTTTAGTGCTTTAGGATTTTCCCCAGCCATTTAACATGAAACATGTAATAAATTGATTTTCGTACAAGCGGAACAGAAAGGATAACTCAGCTATTTTCATCTGAGCTGTTGTATTTTTTTTTTAATAAAAAGTTTCGTATGACCGCTAAGGGTTTTAATAACGGGTTTTAAATTTAATTTAACCCTTTAAAATTTCGGCTAACTCTGCCGGATATTTGAAAAAGTAAAATGATGGCTCACAAAAAGCTTCGCTCCGTTCTGCGTGTTTCGTTGTCAAGAAAACAATGATCACTGGTGCTGCTGGACGAACCTTCTTGTGTTGAAAGAGGAAGGAAGGATGACGTCACTCACCTTTCTGCTTAAAAGTGTTTATCAAGGCCCTAGGTCGATGCCTAAACAAACCTGTATGAAAGGCGCTAACTCGTTCCTTTACGAGCATCTCTGTGGCTAGACTCAAACGAATCAATTTGATATGCACGAGAAACCCTACATGGGTAAAATAAACAGCTTTTCTTTCCCGCTAGTATACAAAAAATCAATATTAAAACAGGCGATAACTAAAAAGTCTGAAAAATCATTAGACAATGCGTTTACTAAATAGCTTGACACTTGGATACATTTTGTTAATTTTAAAATAAAATACAGCGTATCTACAAAATAAATGTACATACGCAAGTATAACAAAATGTTTTATTTTACTTTTAATTTCCAACATATTTTTGATCCCAAATCTATAGTGTGAGTAAAGAATATTAAAAAAAGTAGAGCCATCTTTGGATCTTTCTCTTTAAAGCGCCGTCTCCCTTCAGGATGTAGGAGATTATGGCTCTCCACAATTTCCAGTCATTTGTAACTCTGAGCAACCTTTCTCTTTTTTTTTGCTATTCCCTATTCTCTCATCCATTTGCACAAGTTCGTTAGGTGGGTTTCTTCATGTTTCACTTGCGTACAATATGTTCTGTGAGTGTCAAATTCGCTACACTCTCTTTCCTCAGAAATTTCAACTGTCTCTTTCTGATTCTGTTCTTTTTGTTTCCATTTTCCTTAAAACTTCCTTTTTGCTCACATGCTCCATCCATGGTATTCTCAGCATCTTTCTGTAGAACCACATATCTGTTGCCTCAAGTCGCCATATGTGACGGAAGAATACGAAATCATTAAAAGACACATAAATAAAATCTCGATTTCAGTCATTTTCTCGTAGTAAATGTTCAGATAGGCAGTCTGTTCTTTAATTCCACTCTGTAATGTAATCACTTGGCATCTCGACTTCAGTCATTTTCTTACCGACGTGATATGGCTTCCCGCTGCCTTTTCTACAAATATTTCCATGACAAGTGCTCTGACGAACTTTTTCCCCTGTTGCCCCGACTACATGAATTTAAGCGTTCTACTAGATTGGCAACTAGGTCCCACACTTTTACTGCTGCAATGACTAAATGCAACCGCTACTTTTACTCCAACAGTTTCTTTTCACACACTTCCCACCTGTAGAACTCCCTTCCGTTTCCTTGCTCCCTTGATAACTCCAATCTTTAAAAATTAAAACGCAAGGTCAACCGCCATCTTCCGCCTCCTTGAATCCTGTTCATTTTTTATTCTCACCTCAATCCTCCCTGCTCGTTGTCTCTCATTTCTCCTCCACTTTCACTCTTGTGACCCCCTGCAGTCTCGCTTTTATTGAGGTGAAATAATTTCAAAAAATCAATACAGAGGCTCATAAAAAATGAAGACAAAACATAGTTACGATGAATAGGATACCATCCTAAGATCGACTCTGTGCCTCGAAAACACACACACACACACACACACCATCCAAACACTTTTATCTCAGGCAGAAACGCCTAAATTTTCTTCACAATATCCAAAATAGCCCTCTAATAAATAAATGTCATAAAAAGTTTCATCTTTGTACAAACAAATGTCTTTTTCACATTCAATAAATATCCGAGCTACTCATGTAATGGTAATATTAGCCGTTTCTTTATGTGGAATTATTCCCTGACCGCGTAGACAGTACTACTGTCGGATAAAATTTATAAAATCTTTCTATTAAAACAATTTACAAGAAAATAGGTTTCCCAAGTCCATTAACTCCATTGTACTTTCCAGTACCGATGTGAAGCTCACATTTTGTTCGAAGAAGTGTGAAACGCCAACATCTTGATTATGTTATTATTTTTTCGTTGAGTTACATGCACTCACAATTTTATCTGTTGCTCTTGTTGAACGTCTTCAAATGGTGTAGTTTCTGTTATTTGGTAGAGTTATTTGTTTGCGATTCTGTAGTGCCCTTCCGCAAGTTTCGAAAAAGTATGTTTTCGCTAAAACCCAAAGGCTTCATTTGCTCGAAACCATTTTAACCATTGATCTGAGAAAGCAATTGTATATAGCTGACAGATATTTAGATATTTCTGAGTGACATACATAATATCCATAGGAAAATTTCGATTTTATGAGGTTACTTAAGAACATCATTAGATTTTTTAAGTTAATATTTTGGTTTTGTAGCAGTGTGTAGTCTTATGTGAAACTATCCTTGGCGCAGTCTATTCTATATTCAATTTCCTTATTCGATTTCTTAGAATCCAGCCTATTTCAAAATATCTTACTCCAAATAAATTTAACCGTACTACTAGATTGGCAGTTAGGTCCCATCGTTTAGTTATAGACAGACTGTTTCGCTGTATCACAGCTCCTCACTGTGGATAGACGTCCAATTGTTTCAAGCCGGGATCGAAACCCGACTGATTTGACAGCTGTTACATACCTTACCCCTAGGCCATCGTCGCAGAAAGGAAAGGAATTTTAAAAATTTTCTCAATACGAAATACGCCAGCGGCACGGAGAACTCAATTATGGAATAATAGTGGGAAAGTGAAAGTCAAGTTTGGAAACATGAGTGAAAAATTTTCAAAAGAATCTTAACAGTTTTTGGTGAAATCAGTCTTATGTAAAAACAGTTTATATCGAAACATCAATCTGTTTCATGTTTAAACGCAGTCGATGGCCTGACGATTGCGTTTAAACATGAAACAAACTGTCGGCTCTTTGTGTTGACCTCAAAGTACACTTTTATATTTACATACGCTGATATCAATCACTTTAACTCATAAATATAGCATGACTTAAAAGCTATATTTTTTCATATATATATATATATATATATATATATATATATATATATATATATATATATATATATATATAAAGTCATTTTTATATTTACACATTCTTTTTTTATAGACACAAATATTTAAGTAAATGCTCTGTTTATAATAAACGGTATTAACAATATTTATCGGCCTGAATGTCGGAGAAATTTTCATAGAAAATGTACGTCCTCCGACAGGAATCGAACCTGTATCCTACACGGAACCGTCATATAGCCTGACGTGCTTTGCCGATTTAGCCACAGAGGAGCGTTTCAGTTAGCAATGTCGATTTTACTGTTTTTTAAACTACAATTCTTCATGATATATATATATATATATATATATATATATATATATATATATATATATATATATAATATGCTGCTAGGTCAACTCTATATAGTGAGAGAGACATGGAGTAAGAGAGAGCGAGCGAGAGAATGTAAATGCAGGAAAATATGAGAACGTAGATATTTAGTAAATTAATGTAAGCCGTAGTAATAGGCTACCTGGTGAGTTCTGAACTCACAAACGATGGTTTGCGAAGTTAACCCGCTTATAATCGATTTGCAATAGACGCATCTGTTGATGTGCATCTGTGTACGTGTATTCGTACAGTTTGGGCGCTAAATGATAAAAACCAGAAAAAAAAAAAAAAAAATGAAGAATTATGGGGGTCACTCGGTGCGTTTAGCACCGAACGCATGCATACACGCTCCTTTTTACGCCGAAAAGTTGTGGGTGTTGAAAGCCCTTTTTCTAAATGATTTTTTGTTGTTGTGACTTTGAATATTTTACTCATGTTTTTGTTTTCTTTTTTTTCTTTTTATTTAAGGATGATAAGAAGATTTATGCTATAAACCTAAACATCTCATACAAGGACGGCAATATGGCTATGGTAAAATGTGAGACAAAAATAACAAAGATGGTAGAAAAAAGAAGGAAGAGAATAAAACAGAGGAGGTAAAAAGAAAAAAGAATGAAAGAGAGAAAGAAATAAAGTAAAAAAGACGAAATGAAATGGAAGAATGACGAAACGTAAAAAAGAAATTTGTGGAAACAGTGAAAGAAAGATTGAAAGAGAAAAAAAAAGAAGCAGATGGTGGAAATGAGAGGAAGAAAATAAAAGTGAAATAGAAAGAAAGAACGAAAGAAAGAAAGAAAAAGAGAAAGAATTAAAAAAAATTATGAAAAAAAGAGAAAGAAATAAAAAAAAATGAGATGGGAAAAACAGATAAAAAAAAAAACGGAAAAAGTCAAATAGTGAAAGATAAATAGAAAGAGAACGAAATGAGACCAGAGAAAAGAAGTGAGGGAAAGAAAGACAGAAAGAATGAATGAATGAATGAATGAACGAATGAAACGAGAAAAGAAAACATAGAGGGGGGTGAAGAAGTCAAAGAGTTGATTAGGATGTGAGACGAAGAGCAACAACAAAAATAGAAAGAAAAATGGATAAAGAACTCCTTCTCTTTATCTATCTATCTATCTATCTATCTATCTATCTATCTATGAAAAGTCATAATCAGCCACGACCTTAAGGGACACAGTATACAGATGAAGATTTTGGTATAATGGTTTGCAAGTAGGACTTATACATTTTTCTTGTTTTTATTTTATTTCGTTATTTTTTTTAGCGACAAACTAACCCTTATTCATTTAATGCCGAAAGAAGAAGAAGAAGAAGAAGAAGAAGAAGAAGAAGAAGAAAAAAAGAAGAAGAAGAAGAAAAAAAAGAAGAAGAAGAAGAAAGAAGAAGAAGAAGAAAAAAGAAGAAGAAGAAGAAGATACCAATACGAGTAAAAGAAAAGCAAAAATAATAAAAAAGAAAGGAAACACAGAAAAAGAGGAAATCGACAGAGGAAACTAATTCAACAATAAATAAGATGAAGAAAGAAAAAGAAAGAAATCTTGAATAGCTGTTGAGCCTTGGTGATTGATAATAATAACACCGATAAAAATGGCGCAAGTGAAAAAGAGAAAAAACTTAAAAAAAACAAAAAACAAACAGATTTTATTCAAAATCAACTGTTTTTCCACATGTGCCATTTTTACCGGTGACATTTTACTGTACTATTATTACCTGTGACATCATTAAATTGCGCCTTCTATTGGATAAACAATTAGTGATAGACTGATAGATTTACCAAAGAATTAAAGAAAGATAAATAGATTCACGAAGAAATAACCAAACATCTAAAAGTGATTGGCATGTGGAGATATTTACCATGTTTTAGTGAGCTTGATAACGTTTGATACAAACAATGGAAGTGAGAGCAACTTTGCTGATAAAATATTGAATATTTTACGCTGTGGGTGGGATTGATCTCTAACTTGTGTATTTACAAGATATCCTTTTCCGTTGGTGATTCAAAATGATGATTGGTCGTCGTTGTGCAATGGTGAAAATGTACGCGTCTCGCGTATCATTATGACTGAGTAGGGAATTGAATTCCATCCTCAGTGGGCGTTTAATATTTATATCCCTGGGCAAAAACTTTGATAACATTAGAAAACAATCATTCATGAGAAATCCAGCAAATCTTCTGATTTTATGTCGCTTATGTTACAAAAATATATTGGTTTATCATGATTTCTGTTACGAACGATCCAATATTCTGGAATAACCATTGTTTGTCTGACTAACGTTCCAGTATTCTGAATTAACCATTGTTTATGTGACTAACGATCCAATATTCTAGATTAACCGTAGTTTGTGTGATTAACGAACCAATATCCTGGATTAACCTTTGTTTATGTGACTAACGATTCCAAACCGTTGTTTGTGTGACTAATGGTCTAACATTCTGGATTAAATGTTGCTTGCATCACTAACTATCCAGAATTCTGGATTAACTGTAATATATATTATTAACGATCTAGTATTCTGGATTTCGAATAATGTGTCTTATTAATGATCCGACATTCTGGATTAACTGTAATTTATTTGACTAACTATCCAATATTCTGGATTAACCGTAATATTTCTTACTAATGATCCGGCATTCTGGATTACGAATAATGTATTTTACTAACGCTCCGATATTCTGGATTAACTGTAGTTTGTTTGATTAACAACCCACTATTCTGGAATAAGAGTAGCGTGTAATATAATATCCTGAATTAACTGTAAAATTTCTTAGAAACAATCTAATATTTTCGACTATCAAAAATCTGTGTTAGTAAAGATCTTCTGTTCTGATTTATTCTCGTCTGCGTTCCAAAAAGAAATAAACTCAAGACAATTCATGTCTAGAATTGAGGCATCTACAATACAATATAATGACTCCGAGAAATCTAAGATATAAAATTACTTCGTTATTGCCTCATGTCGGCAATTTTAGATTCTGTTTTCCCATTAACATGTTTATTCGAGGTTACGCCCATGTTTACTCAATCACAACGATTTACCAAACAATTGCACATGCGTACAAATGACCGTACGCATTGCATAAATGACGAAACAATAAATTTCGAGTAACAACGGAAACTATAAAGAAATTACAAGGATAGTAATATAAGTAGGGATTTAACAGTAGTAAACATTAGTAAATATTACTAGTAAATATTAGCTAAGAAATACGATACGAAGAAGAAAACGTAGAAGTGTTTCTTTAAAACATGCTAAACGTAAGCGAGAAGAAAGGACTAATAATCAAATGCAAGTAGATAGAAAACATGGTTGTTATCAAATGGAACAGCCCGACATGCAAATCACAAATTAGAGATAATAAAATCAAACAAGTACAACAATTTAAATATCTGCTAAGTGTTTTAACAGAGGACGGAACGTGCGACACTGAAGCTCGAATGCACATTGGGATAGCGAAAGATGCCTTCCAAAAGTATCAAGAAACAAAAACAATCGCTAGAAACTAATATATATATATATATATATATATATATATATATATATGTGTGTGTGTGTGTGTGTGTGTGTGTGTGTATGAAAAGTGTCTGTATATAAATATAAATAAATATATATTATATAATTATTTATATATTATATGCGCGGTATTTATTAGAAAGCGCTCAATATCAGAGATAGAGCTAACATATTTGGTTGGATAGATGTGAGTTTGTGACCCTGGGTTTCACGCTTTAGTGATCGACAGACAAACTGATTATTTTTTTAAAAAATTTGGGTTTATGTAGATTGCGTGTATTGGTGTTATTGTGGAAGTGGGTGGGGACGTCGTTGTTTTGTCATCGTACTAACGCAAATATCGATGTATGCAGACACATATACATACTTGGTCGTCCGTCGGGACTCATAACATATATAAACATATGTGGGCAGTTTCAGATATGACATATGTATGTATACGAGTGGTGTTATGTCTATACATACGCATTTGTATGTTGAAATTCAAAGATTGGGAGTGTAGCGAAAATATACCCGACGGACGACCAAGTATGTATATGTGTCTGCATACATCGATGTTTGCGTTAGTACGATGACAAAACGACGACGTTTCCCCATCACTTCCACAATAACACCAATACACGCAATCTACATAAACCCAAAATTTTAAAAAAATTAATCAGTTTGTCTGACGATATATATATATATATATATATTTCGGTTCAAGCGAGTTACTTCTCTTGTTTGTTCAACAGTTTTCTAGAAAATTCGTACCGACCATTTTCCTTGGGCGAGACACTTTGGGATTCAAGCCAATCACAGACCTATTCTGAATTGGCGCCAAAAGACGAATCTTACATCCCACCCTCGTTCTGCTTCAAACTCATACCAAGACAGACTGGCCGTCAAAGTCTGAAGCTAAATGTACTCTTCTAGATACCTGGGAATATATCTTGTAGAGGACCAGGGGGTGAAGATGAAAAGAAAACATGTGCGTTTAAATTTCCTGCTAGAAGAAGGTCCAGATACAAGAGAAATGGTGGACTCTAGTTGTGTCCAACTGAAGATGAAAGAAGACAAACAAAGACCAATATATATATATATATATATATATATATATATATATATATATATATATATATATATATAAACAAATATATGTATTAACAACAAATTACAAAGCACATAGACTATTAACATTTGTGTGTGTGTGTGAACATTTGTGTTTGTTCTTTGGTGAATGTTCATATTTTGGTAAATATTCGTATTTTGGTGAATGTTCATACGTACGTGTATGTTTGTAATTTTCATAGCGTCTTCTCAGAAATGGGAAAAGCTGTCTTTTGTGAGAACTCACATAGTAGCGGTGTTCGCTGAAATAAAGAAAGAAGAGAAAGAATTACCTCAACTCCACGCGAGGTGGGATGCGGCACAAGGCCTGAGGGAAAAAGAGAACGAGGCAAGAGGTCGCCCAGTATTTATAGTACAGGGAGAATGATCTCTAGTGATAATTTGGGAATTAAGGAGGAGGTAACTCCGACAATCTCTTCAAGTTACAAGGACTTCACTTCAGTTAAGCCGAAAACACTAATCTTTGTAAATCTTCATTGTATATTGTGTAATATGATATTTCATATTGTTAATATCATGTTTTGTTTTTCCTTGTCCTGTTTATTTTTAATCGGATAAAGTTTAACACCAGCTTACATCGAAATCACCACAAAACAAAGGAAAAAGTACAGAATTATTATACAATATTAGTCCTCCTATATGGGAGTGAATGCTGGATAATCTCCTCAGAGATGAGAAGAGACTTGGAGACAAAAATGTGGTTCTGCAGAAGGATACTGAGAATACCATGTGAGAATCGACGAAGTTTTAGAGAAAATTAAAACGAAAAGGACACATACTTAACATCAGGAATACAGAATTTAAATTTCTAGGTCATATAATGAGGAAAGAGAGCTTGGAAAATTTGATACTCACAAGACAGATTGAATGCAAGCGGAATAGAGGAGAGCAACGTATAACCTACCGAGAGAACTTGAGTAAATGGATGGTGGAGCGAGGTTTAGGAGAGATAAAAAAGACAAAATTTATTGAGCGCTGCAAAGGACAGGACAGGACATTGCGGCGGGCCATGTTCGCCAATGTCCTGAAGGGACACGGTACATAGAAGAAGAAGAAGAAGCAGAAGAAGAAGAAGAAGAAGAAGAAGAAGAAGAAGAAGAAGAATCATAATGAGGTCCATTAATCTAATTGTCTAAGAATTAAAGATACGTTATGCTAAATAGATGCATTTCTGACAGTCTTTGTGGATTTATTTTTCCTCTCTTGTATCCGTTCAAAAATTCGAATAGTTCTCGCCCCAAAAGGTAAGCGAAAATATAAATAGGAGGAAACAGACAAGTGCGCTCTCTAGGAGAAGAAAATAGAAATAAAGGTGTCGAAAGATGGCTACCGTTGGCAAACTGCACTCGTTCACCCGATTAAACAAAGCTGTCTGTATCTTCTAGGCTGATTAGACCTTTGATGGTTAAATTCTATCTTCCTATCTACACGTTGCGAGCCTCAAAGGACATCGAACAAACACATGATGGGAAATGGGGAGGATGGCATTGAAACGACTGCGTTCCTAACGCTCCTGAACTCGGGCAGAATGCCATATTAACTGTCAATTATTGACACAATCTCAGCACGAGATTTTATCGTTAATTATGTAGCAGATAGCCTTTCTTTCTTTCTTTGTTTTGTTTGTTCGGTGCTTTTATCTATTAAACCTCCCCTTTCTTTCTTTCTTTCTTTCTTTCTTTCTTTCTTTCTTTCTTTCTTTCTTTCTTTTGAAACTCTTCTTTCTTATTTTCTTTCTTTTCAACCGTTTCTTTGTTAGTTATCTATTTTTTTATATTATTAATTTTAGCAATTCCTGTATTCATTCATTCATTCTTTCTTTCTTTCTTTCTTTCTTTCTTTCTTTCTTTCTTTCTTTCTTTTCTTTCTTTGTCATCCTCATTCCAACGTTTCTTTTTTATTTCTGTTAAAACTTTATTCCACAATACCTTTCTTTCTTTCTCTCTTTCTTTTCAAACTCTTCTTTCTTTCTTTCTTTTCAAACTCTTCTTTCTTTCTTTCTTTCTTTCTTTTCAAACTCTTCTTTCTTTCTTGTCAAACTATTCTTTCTTTCTTTCTTTCTTTTGAAACTCTTCTTTCTTTCTTTCTTTCTTTCTTTCTTTCTTTCTTTTCAAACTCTTCTTTCTTTCTTGTCAAACTATTCTTTCTTTCTTTCTTTCTTTCTTTTCTTTCTTTTTGAAACTCTTCTTTCTTTCTTTTCTTTTCTTTTCTTTCTTTTCAAACTCTTCTTTCTTTCTTGTCAAACTATTCTTTCTTTCTTTCTTTCTTTCTTTCTTTCTTTTGAAACTCTTCTTTCTTTCTTTCTTTCTTTCTTTTCAAACTCTTCTTTCTTTCTTGTCAAACTATTCTTTCTTTCTTTCTTTCTTTTGAAACTCTTCTTTCTTTCTTTCTTTCTTTTCAAACTCTTCTTTCTTTCTTGTCAAACTATTCTTTCTTTCTTTCTTTCTTTCTTTTCTTTCTTTTTGAAATTCTTTCTTTCTTTCTTTCTTTCTTTCTTTTCAAACTCTTCTTTCTTTCTTGTCAAACTATTCTTTCTTTCTTTCTTTCTTTCTTTCTTTCTTTCTTTCTTTCTTTCTTTCTTTCTTTTGAAACTCTTCTTTTTTTCTTTCTTTCTTTCTTTCTTTTCAAACTCTTCTTTCTTTCTTGTCAAACTATTCTTTCTTTCTTTCTTTCTTTCTTTCTTTCTTTCTTTCTTTCTTTTGAAACTCTTCTTTCTTTCTTTCTTTCTTTCTTTCTTTTTTCTTTTCTTTTCACTCTTCTTTCTTTCTTGTCAAACTATTCTTTCTTTCTTTCTTTCTTTCTTTTGAAACTCTTCTTTCTTTCTTTCTTTCTTTCGTTCTTTCTTTTCAAACTCTTCTTTCTTTCTTGTCAAACTATTCTTTCTTTCTTTCTTTCTTTCTTTTGAAACTCTTCTTTCTTTCTTTCTTTCTTTCTTTCTTTTCAAACTCTTCTTTCTTTCTTGTCAAACTATTCTTTCTTTCTTTCTTTCTTTTGAAACTCTTCTTTCTTTCTTTCTTTTCAAACTCTTCTTTCTTTCTTGTCAAACTATTCTTTCTTTCTTTCTTTCTTTCTTTTCAAACTCTTCTTTCTTTCTTTCTTTCTTTCTTTCTTTCTTTCTTTTCAAACTCTTCTTTCTTTCTTGTCAAACTATTCTTTCTTTCTTTCTTTCTTTCTTTCTTTCTTTCTTTCTTTCTTTTGAAACTCTTCTTTCTTTCTTTCTTTCTTTCTTTCTTTCTTTTCAAACTCTTCTTTCTTTCTTGTCAAACTATTCTTTCTTTCTTTCTTTCTTTCTTTCTTTCTTTTGAAACTCTTCTTTCTTTCTTTCTTTCTTTCTTTTGAAACTCTTCTTTCTTTCTTGTCAAACTATTCTTTCTTTCTTTCTTTCTTTTGAAACTCTTCTTTCTTTCTTGTCAAACTATTCTTTCTTTCTTTCTTTCTTTTGAAACTCTTCTTTCTTTCTTTCTTTTCAAACTTCTTTCTTTCTTGTCAAACTATCTTTCTTTCTTTCTTTCATTCTTTCTTTTCAAACTCTTCTTTCTTTCTTTCTTTCTTTCTGTCTTTTCAGCCTTTTCTTTCCTTTAGTTATTTAATTTCTTATATTAAAAACATACCTATTATTCTTTCTTTATTTCTTTCTTTCTTTCTTTCTTTCTTAATGAATATTTTCTCCCATTTTCCTTTCAAATGACTTTTAACTTTATCAGATTTTCTCTCAGGCTTCTTTCTATTTCACAAACCTGTTTTTGTTCATTGAATAAATTTCCATTTTATGTTTACTAAATCGTCCCGGAGCTTAATGAACCCAATTCCGAATTTCACGAATCAAAATTTCTGATTATGCCCGACATTTTATTGTGAAGTTTTGTTTCATTTTTGTTGATCACTCTCTCTATCTCTATCTCTTTCATTCATTTATTCTTTCTTTCTTTCTTTCTTTCTTTCTTTTAATAGAATTTGCATTTTGTTTCTTAACGGTGTTGCCGTCTTCAATTTTTTATCGCTTTTAATTTCCTTCCTTCCTTCCTTCCTTCCTTCCTTCCTTCCTTCGATCATTCATTTTCCTTTATTTCTCCTGTCATTCCTTACTTTATTAATTTAATTTTTAAACATTTATTTTCTAATCTTCCGTTTTTTGTTCTTTCTTTCGTACTTTCTTTCTTTCGCTCTTTCTTCTTTCTTTCTTTCTTTCGGTTTTTCTTTCTTTCGTTCTTTCTTTTTGCTTTTTTTCTTTCCTTCTTTCTTTCTTTTTGCTTTTTTTTCCTTTTCTTTCTTTCTTTCGTTCATTGTTTGTTTGTTTGCTTCTTTGTTTCTTTCTTTCTTAGAACGTTTTCTTGAATTTACTGATACCGAAATCATTACGCTCTTCCTTCCCGAAATCTACATTCTCTCTTGCAGGCCGCGGTGGTGAATTTACAACGTATTTTTTGACTCTCAATTTAAATCTATTTTTACACGTTTTGACCCAAGTTTTGGGGTTAACAATTTGCCAAAACTGGGACCTTAACAGGTGCTACAACCCCGGGTCAGGATGTACCTGGGAACACCAGCAATTAAGAGGAGGTTCCACGCTCAGTTATGTCAGTTATTAGGACACATGGCGCAGTGGATAAAGGTGTTGGTTAGATCCAGTGACAGGACCCAAAAAGTGTGAGTTCAATAACCGTTTAAGGCGGTGGAGAACATGGAGAGGGTAATTAACAGGGGATAACTGATAATTGACATCCATTAAACATGGCACATGGAACTAGAACAGTCTACCCCAGTGAGCGAAATAAGGGTTCAGTTCGACATTCCAACCACCTGAAGAAGGCCGGGGCGTACAACGGCCGAAACGTTATAATAAATATTGCGACAAAGATGAGGACAATAGTCCGAATAATGTAAATAGTGTACATAATACCTCATCTCAAAAATATAAACAGATACTGAAAGGCCGAAACGTTGTAATAAATACGGCAACAAAGATGAGGACAATAGTCCGAATAATGTAAATAGTGTACATAATACCTCATCTCAAAAATATTAAACAGATACTGAAAGGCCGAAACGCTGTAATAAATATGGCAACAAAGATGAGGATAATAGTCCGAATAATGTAAATAGTGTACATAATACCTCATCTCAAAAATATAAACAGATACTGAAAGGCCGAAACGTTGTAATAAATATGGCAACAAAGATGAGGACAATAGTCCGAATAATGTAAATAGTGTACATAATACCTCATCTCAAAAATATAAACAGATACTGAAAGGCCGAAACGTTGTAATAAATATGGCAACAAAGATGAGGACAATAGTCCGAATAATGTAAATAAGTGTACATAATACCTCATCTCAAAAATATAAACAGATACTGAAAAAGGCCGAAACGTTGTAATAAATATGGCAACAAATATGAGGACAATAGTCCGAATAATGTAAATAGTGTACATAATACCTCATCTCAAAAATATAGACAGATACTGAAAGGCCGAAACGTTGTAATAAATATGGCAACAAAGATGAGGACAATAGTCCGAATAATGTAAATAGTGTACATAATACCTCATCTCAGAAATATAGACAGATACTGAAAGGCCGAAACGTTGTAATAAATATGGCAACAAAGATGAGGACAATAGTCCGAATAATGTAAATAGTGTACATAATACCTCATCTCAAAAATATAAACAGATACTGAAAGGCCGAAACGTTGTAATAAATATGGCAACAAAGATGAGGACAATAGTCCGAATAATGTAAATAGTGTACATAATACCTCATCTCAGAAATATAGACAGATAATGAAAGGCCGAAACGTTGTAATAAATATGGCAACAAAAGATGAGGACAATAGTCCGAATAATGTAAATAGTGTACATAATACCTCATCTCAAAAATATAAACAGATACTGAAAGGCCGAAACGTTGTAATAAATATGGCAACAAAAGATGAGGACAATAGTCCGAATAATGTAAATAGTGTACATAATACCTCATCTCAAAAATATAAACAGATACTGAAAGGCCGAAACGTTGTAATAAATATGGCAACAAAGATGAGGACAATAGTCCGAATAATGTAAATAGTGTACATAATACCTCATCTCAAAATATAAACAGATACTGAAAGGCCGAAACGTTGTAATAAATATGGCAACAAAGATGAGGACAATAGTCCGAATAATGTAAATAGTGTACATAATACCTCATCTCAGAAATATAGACAGATAATGAAAGGCCGGAACGTTGTAATAAATATGGCAACAAAGATGAGGACAATAGTCCGAATAATGTAAATAGTGTACATAATACCTCATCTCAAAAATATAAACAGATACTGAAAGGCCGAAACGTTGTAATAAATATGGCAACAAAGATGAGGACAATAGTCCGAATAATGTAAATAGTGTACATAATACCTCATCTCAAAAATATAAACAGATACTGAAAGGCCGAAACGCTGTAATAAATATGGCGATAAAGATGAGGACAATAGACCGAATAATGTAAATAGTGTACACAATACCTCATCTCAAAAATATAAACAGATACTGAAAGGACTAAACTTTGTGATAAATATGGCAAAAAAGATGAGGATAATAGTCCGAATCATGTAAATAGTATACATAATACTTCATCTCAGAAATATAAACAGATACTGAAAGGCCGAAACGTTGTAATAAATATGGCCACAAAGATGAGGACAATAGTCCGAATAATGTAAATAGTGTACATAATACCTCATCTCAAAAATATAAACAGATACTGAAAGGCCGAAACGTTGTAATAAATATGGCAACAAAGATGAGGACAATAGTCCGAATAATGTAAATAGTGTACATAATACCTCATCTCAAAAATGTAGACAGATACTGAAAGACCGAAATGTTGTAATAAATATGGTGACAAAGATGAGGACAATAGTCCGAATAATGTAAATAGTGTACATAATACCTCATCTCAAAAATGTAGACAGATACTGAGTGAGCTTGAGTAAATTCGTAACGGAAAAGGGCGTAGAATAAATAACAGAAATACAAAGTTTATTAATAGCTACAAGGGACAGGAAGTTGTAGAGAGTCA